ATGAGCAAGAAGACTGTAGGACTGAGGATGACTCAGGAAGGGAAGGACACTCCTGCAGTCTGAGTCACAGCATGCTGATGACACTACTTGAAACATGGCAGGTGCCAATTATTTTCTCTTCTTTCAGAGAAAACAAAAAAAGAACTCTATTACATAAAAAAAACTACTAAAAAGCAGCAATTTCTTCACATCCTGTCAGTCAATGCTTGATCTCTACCTGGAACAGAAGGGTTTACACAGTTTATATATTTTAAATCCCATCAGATTAGACTAGGTGTGAATTTACTGAATCTCTCTAAAAATCTCTGAATTACTAAGAATCATTATATTCCCCAAACTGGCTTTTTTTAATGTTGCTCACTGTATCACATCCTCAAAAATCACCACCAGATGCTATATGCCGCTCCTTTAAACACTCTCTGTACAATTAAAATGCCTCAAACATTTGTAAACATCCTTACTTTACAGACTGGAAACTAAAAGACAGCAGAAAAGGTCATAACTGCCAGCAGCACAAACCAATTCCAGCTCTCCAATTTAACATTTGAAGGCCTAATTCTTTAAAGCACATCACATGTTTGAAATACACTGTACAAGTTCAGAACAGACCTCCTATGAATTTCAGTTTCAGCCTGTGATGCTCAGACATCCTTCCTGCTAGTCTGACTCACAAATTTCACCTTCCAATGTCTCATCCTCTGCTATGAGCCATTGATTAATGAGCACCCATGTCTGAGTACTTTGGCATATCTGGGTAACAGCTGCCCATAGACCATAAGAATTCTACAGAAAAAGCAAAGAAAGTCCACTGTCAAAGAGCTGCAGCTCCAACCAGTCACTAACCATGAGATCATTTTCCTCTCATTACTCCTTCTCAGAACACAACTTGCAACAAATGGCATAGGAAGTCAGTTTTCCAGTGTTATCTTAGCTCGTGCCTAGAGCCCTCTCTTTGCCTGTTGAAGGAGTTCTTGAAGGAGATGGAACAAACACACCATTTATGCCTGCATGACTGAAAACTGTATCATAAAGCATTGTATACAAACAGGATTAAGACTACAAACAAAGTAAGCTTTATTTGGAGATTTTATGTTTTCAGAGACTCTGCAACATTTAAAACATGGCCATCATTTTCCAAATGAAAGCAGCTTAAAAGTGACAGGATATCAAAAAACTGTTCCTGCAACAGACCAGTATCAGTCTGAGCTTCATCAGCAATAACGAAGAATTTAAAAATTCTTGAAAGCAAGGACAGCTAATTTTCCTGACCCTGGAATCTACAGAGCAGAAGTATCATGTGCTTGAGATACTCAAGTTGCAAGGAAAACTAGCTCTGGTAAAAATTCACATGTGATAGCTCACATCACACTGCTTTGCAGAGACTTACAGGGGCACAGCGGCACGTACGCAGCTGGTCACAAAGAACCAAAAATCTATCTAAATGGTCTTTTCTACCTCTTTGTCAAGTCTATTTCTCCCTATCAATGCAAGTTACAAATATACAGAGTCAGAATTTAAAGTGGGAGAATTCCTTAGTGAAATACATGATACTGTTGCAAGGAAAGAGTATTTTTCAACTGGCAAACATTTCTTAAAATTATTAGACATTTTACTGAAATGAGCTGACAGTAACAAAAACTCCTAAGTCCTGTAAACTCCTCATGTTACAGCTTCAGTTCTTCCATACAGGTAGATAGGACAGGTAGCTTTCTGAAGAAAGCAGAAGGAAACACAGAATACTAAAACTGAAATGACTTATTGAAAAATTCAACTTTATGGGCTGCCGTTGAACTGTTTATTTATTATCACAACTCTGTGTACTCTGCATATTAATTCTGATATTTGAAGACAGAAAACGATTTACTTCTTGGGAAGCAACTACACAATATCAGAATGCTGTGAGTTTTTCCTCAAGCAAACAAAAACAACCCCACAGAAAGCCCCCAATGAACTCAAGACTCTACTTGTTTCCTTCCTCAAGTGACCTGCATCACTTGCACATCATTCACTTAAAATACTCAATGCAGCTTATTTTTGTGTGTCATCAGAAAATGAATTCCCAAGAAACCAATGCATTTGGAGAGGAAGTGAAAAGAAAACTCTACAGAGACAAAACTCTCCAGAGATACAGGTCATTCACTGCCTGTGATTCTTAATTCCATTAGGAACCATTCAGCAAAATCTGTTTGATTGATTAATTTAAGGCCTCAGTTCAAAAAACCATCAGGACAAGAGTAGCTTGGCGATACTGAAGCTCTGTAACTACATTAAATGTTCCCTACTGGGCTGAAATTGAATGATTAATTTCTTCCTAAATGACTAATAGTCAAATACCCTCTAGACTTCTTGATCTTCTGTCAAAAGGTCTATTTTATTCAAAAGATTTATGGCAGTATATGTAGTAAAGCATAGCTCAGGTTACAGAGAAAGAACACGCCAGGAAAATACCTCAGTACATGCACATTTCTACAGTGCAACATGAAAAAAATGCCAACTAGTTCTTTGCTGAAAAAATCATTAACACACAGAAGGAATATTTTATGTCCTTTTTCAGCATGACGCAAATTTTAAGCTTTAAAGCCTTTTTAGAAGGTCAGATAGTTCTGGTAAATTTTTTTTAACCATTTTTCATCTTTAAGCAGCTTACACCATGGTACTGCAACTCATTCATAAACACTGGTTGGTGTTCAAATAATTTCTCAGGAATGGTTTGAAAGGGATAAAAACTAACCAAATTTGTTCTGTCAATGGCCACTGACATAACATTATTATTTTTCAAGGAACTGTGGGTGGCTGTACTCTCCACTCTGCTGAACACATGGTAAAGGGTAAAAATGGTTATTAGCCCTCTGTTCTCAGTATCCTCTTCACTAAGCAGCACTTCCTCCTGTCTGAAAACATGTAAAAAACATTCTTCCTCTTGGAAAAAAAACTTAAACCAGTGTAGTTGAGTTACAACTGAATATAACTTTTAAGATAACCATAGTCACTGACTTCAGTGAAAGACAGGTGTCACCACTGGAAACATTTTTAAAATATGCACGATAGTCTACTTATGAGGAAGTTTACTACATGATCACGCCAATAAAAGTTAAGGGGGAAAAATGCTAATTATGAGGAGCAGTTTAGAAATGTAATTGTGGTAATGCAAAAACTGAGTGGTGAATGTCACAACTATAATTGGAAATTAATACAGTTCAAGTTAACTCAAACACCATCTGCAAACTGACTCTTTCATGCTGTCTCATACTACTATTTCCATAACTGAATGGCAACATTCATTTCTGCCAACACTTTTTTTCATTTAAACACTTAAGGAAAAAAAGAATCATAAACTTCAATGCAATTTGTGTGCCAGCTTCCATTTTCAAAAAGGATTTTATACAGTTATGTGTCATTCTACAGACATGTAAAAGTAAAATCTTGATAACATTTCCCCAAGCTGTCCTTGACTTTTTGCCCATGAAGTTCCCAAGTTCTACACATTCCCCCTCCCATACACAGGCATCATCACTGATGCCACTGAATGATTTGGCAGATAAGCCTTCCTGCAATTCTCAAAGTGCGTGGCTCCTCCAAGATCTAACTGGAGATTAATTCTCTTGATACATCTACCTGTCAGAGTAGATCTCAAAATAAAAAAAGTGTGGAGGCTACTCTGTGCCACTTCTTTTATTTCCAAAACCAGTTTTGCAGTAGCAAAGTTTTCCAACTTCTACGTTATAGGGTCACTACCACCTTCTTTTGCCTCATGAACTTAGCATTTTACACACAGCAACAATTCTAGACGTGAGAGTTTAAGGCTCAGAAACTAAGATTATAAAATAAACAAGGGGATCATAAATGTCATCTGAAAATTGGACCTGGAATCAATTCCAACATAATCACAGAGAGGAGAATCTGAACTAGAATTCCCACATTCAAAGTAAATACTTCTAACTCCTGGGCCATTAGGGTTGCTGTATCTTATCTAGAAGTGCCAGCTGCTAGAGAACACTTCCCACTACATTTAACCACCTCCCAGGAACAATACTCTCTTACTGCTCCCTGCTTCTTGTTCACCTTGCCAACTTCCCGGGAAGCCTACTCACTGAAAAATTAAGACATCTGTCCCTCCTAGACTGATGCTGTGAATTTTAGGATACAGCAAGTATATCAGTGATAGAAAGAAATGCTGATCTAATTTTTTTTTAAGTGGGTAGGGGTAACTTGGACTTCAAAAGCATGTGAATCAGCTGGATGAGACTTAAGTTTAATTACTCCATACATATTCAGAACTTCAGCAGACATCACAGTTACCACAGTTCAGCTGATGCTCAACATTTTAATTGCATCTCCAAAAGCCACAGCCTCCTGACATGACTAAGTTGCTTTTGACAATACTATTCAGCCTCTTAATACTAGTAGCTCTAGTCTTTCCAGTCTTATTTGTCTGACACCTGCGTATGTCAACCTTCAGAGGAGGGTATATTTATTTAATCAGGTTTTACTCATGGAAAGTAGATGCCTGTGAACCAGACAGAAACATACCTGGACAAACATCTGCCAGTATTTCAGGCTTCCCCGACTACCACCACTATAAAGAAATTCAACTTTTTCAACACTGAACTTTTTTTTCTTTTGTGATATGTCTGCTTGCACCATCTTTTGTAAATTTCATAGATTTTGAACCTCTTTTTTTTTTTTAAACTACAATGTAATACAAAAGTTTATTTCCTCCTATGTAGAATTTTGTAATAAATTATTATTAAATTGCATCAGCCTTATGAAAATAATGTTTTACATAGTACATTGAACACACTGTCATAACTCAACCTAACACAAATTTTAGCTTCACGTTATATGCAGATATATACATACACACACATATACAGGCACAAATACACATATATAAATATCCGAGGTGTATCAGAAAATTTAAACTATTAGTGAACATCATGTAAGACTCCTTTCTCCAAGCAAAACAAACACTTCCACACCTAGAGCATACAAAACTTTACCTGATCAGCTGTTGTGACATCAGAAATTACAGCATCAGGGGGTCTCTTGGGTGGATTCCCTGTTACCTAAAGCAAAAGTAGTAGCATTAATATTTCACTGCAAAAATCTTTTATCCATACCCATGCCAGAGTATGTCTGGTATGTATAAAAAGAACCAGCATTTACAAAGCTGTTAAGGTTCCTCCTAACCTTTCTACATTTAGAGACAAAGAGAAAAAGATATTTAGGCCAGCAAGTTTCTTATCAAGGTTAGCTTTACAAAGAGAGCAATATTGAGGCATCAGATCTGGCTAACAGTTAGATGTTGCAGCTTATCAGTTAGATTACATTTCTTCCAAACTATCCAAAAAAGCCCAAGCAATAACTTTCTCTCATAGAACATTAGTGTTTTGGAGCACAGAAATGAAAGGGAAGCTTTTAAACTAATGCTTTAAAAACTGCAATGGAGTACAAAATTATTTACTGCCTCACTTTTGGCCTTTAAGAACTTCCAGATCTTTTTTGTCTTGCACTTTTTTCATTTGTTTTGCAATTATATGTTGCATATTAAGCCTGTCATTATTATAAAAAAGCTATTCCTTGTCAGCTTCATTGTTCAGTTTTGAAGATACATATTTTACCAACAGACTGACAGAGAACATCCTAGATCATGATAGACACAAAGAACAAAACAAAGAGAAACTGGCGTAAGCTCTAAAATGAAAGGCAGCAATTTGACTCTCACCTGTACTAATTCTACTTAATCTTAGTTTGAGTAAACTCTTCACCAAAGATAAGAGAAGTTAAAAGAAACTGAGTGCTCTGTAATTTCATATCTAATAAGAGCAAAGGCTCTTTCCTCTTTATTAACAGAGAGCAAAGCTACCTCTGGGGTGGAAGACTTGATAACATCACTCTTGCTTTTGTCACTTCAGAAAAGCACAAACACACCTATACATTAATCAGTCTGATAACAAGGACACTTTCTAACATGCTTTCAAAACAAGAATGGCTTGCAAATCCATTTCCAGTTGGTTTAAAGAAACTCAACCTGACCTACTGAGCCTGTAAAAATGCTAAAAATAAAATAATTAAGGAAACCCCTCTGCCAGTAAGGCAGGAAAACACTAACTCAAGAGGAGTGAGACTTATACAACATGCTGTTCATCACAGACCTCAACTTGGAAATTTGTTCTCCTTAGTGTGCAGAAAAAATAAATGTGTAAAATGACAAAGAGACACATCATAAAATATGTCTGATCAGCTTGGAATTTCTTTTTGGCACAGAGGGACGTGAAAGTGTTTTTAATTGGGAAGGTTTGCAAAGACAAAGCATGAAAATTTACTATTTGAAACTGGCCTCTTGCAGCCAGAGGCCTCTGTTGAACTTGCTATCACTGTGTTGTCTTAACTAGACTACATTTTGTTTTCTTCTGTCACAAGGACTGATGCCTGAAACAGGTATTCTTTATATTTTAAAATGTAAAATAATTTGTACAGCACTCTCATGCTTCAATAAGTTGAGTGGAGTTGCAATTGCACTACACTGTACTCACCGATGTCACCGCTATAGATTAGCAACAATTCCTTTGAACCACCATATTTTTTACATGCAGTATTATAAAATCTGATTACAGAAGAATTAAGGGTTCCATCAAAGACCTTTATATGCTGTCTGCAATAATATTCTGTTCATTTTTTCATACCTCACAGAGGCTTTTCCTTTTCCTTTCTCATTGAAGCAGCAGGCATTTCAACATGTGATTTGTAAAGCTTAATATGCGAAAACTACTATGTAATCAATACAGATTTACTATATTTACATCCAAAAATTACAAAGAACATTACTACAGTATTACAGAGGTACAAAACATATAAATTTAAAAAAATACTGAGCTTTAAATAGCTTCTATTCAATTAACTGTTTATTACTGTGGTGTCTGAAGGCTCTAGTTCACAATAACAACATTCAGTCATAGCTGGCACTACCCTTAAAGTAGTTGTATTGAAGGAGACAACAGCTATATGTCAAGTACCTGAACAGCTACGTCATGCATTTGGACATATACACCATGGGTTCACGTGACATTGTCATTTACTAACTCTCGCCCAAATTGCAAGGGTTCCACTCCACCTGAAGTGAGAAACTGTAATGCTACTTCTCTTTTTGCCTCTTTATGCTGTCAAAACCTCTTGCAAGCAAACACATATATTTATAAAGAGCTACACCTAGAGATCTCTTCTAGACATTGCAAGTCCAATCCTGACACCACACATTTGAGTACTTCCCAGCTTTTTACTAAGCTAGTCTTTTTACTAGAGCAACATCTTGGAATATTAACATACGATCATACTTATCAGCACAAATTTAACACATGAAAAACAAGTTACTAAACCACACACAAACGCTCTCTGTACACAGACACACAAAATTGCCACTAGGTATCAATTTATTTTTAAATATAAATATCCCCCTCCCCACCCTCTTAAGCAGAAGCAAGGAAAAACGCTGAGGTGGAGCAGCAGAACACACTGTAATGCTAAACTGACAACACACAGATCCCATATTCCCAACTGGAGACATAAGCACTGATGCTGAAACCGAAATGTGATCACGACAGCAGAGCTGAGACAGGTTTAAATCAGGACTCTGTTATGAGTCTAGTTGGCACAATCCAACAGTTCAGGAGGAGGCCTCTAGGCAAGGTATCTAAAACCTCAAGTTCTTTGTCACTCTCCCTACTGCCTGTCCTCAAACAAGAGCAGCCAATAAGTATGCTCTTAAAGCTACATATGAGAGGTAAAGCTCCCCAATTCTACTTGAGAAAGCCATGACTTACAAGTTAAAGCCACTTCTCTGTTCTTGTTCTAAGAGATTTCTAAAAAAAATTCCAGATCAAAAGTAGATTTAGAAAATAAAACATTTCTCAATCTAGCTTTTAACAAGAAATTAGTAACTTTCCTCATCTGTTCATTTATTGCGAGCATGATTGGGAGTAACTAAACACATGAAATCAAACACACAAAGTTTCTTTTGTTTGCAAAGGTCACATTTGGGTTTCACAAAACCAAGAGTCAATAAGACTCTTGCCAAACTGGACAGCTGAACTGATAGCGTCTTCCATCTGACCTACAAAAGCAGGATTTTAAGCAATTTAGCACAGCCCAAAGTACGATCTTATTACTTCTGTGGAATTAATTGAGTCAAACTGGGTCAGATCACAGCCTGCTATACTGTCAACTTCAAAAGACCCTCCTCTAAAGATCTAATACGAATGCTCTAGAGGAATGTTCTGTCCACATCATCATGTATTTCATATTAATTTCAATTTTATTTTAACTTCAGACATTATTTTCTAATTCCAGGTCCAAGGAATTTAGATTCTAAACATTTACCAGAGAAGCTCCTATTTTGTTTTCCATTAAGATAATCCCTGTCTGTAATTTCAAACATTTGAATATAGGAGTATCTCACCAGTTGCATATATAGCAATTCCGTTTTCTCCTGAATTGCCAAAATAAAACCATTGGTTTCCTGAACAGTACCTTTTCACTCAGGCTCTCCAGTGAACAGAAGTACTTAAACTCCATGTGAGCTTGCACCATCACACTGCTCAAATGCTAGTTTATCCTTATTAGTTGATACAGCAAATATTTTTCTTGTAGATGTTTTCATGTTTGTTTTTTGGTTTTTTTTTTTTAGTATGAATATGTGTGAATTTACCTTGGCCTTTTCTGATGTCCGTTTTCCACCAAAACCTCCAGCTCCAACCAAAAATAAAGAGAACTGATTATAACACACTAGGTCCTTTCCACAATAGGTATTCACTGAAAGACAACAAAAAAGGAAGATCATATATTAACTTTGATCTGTTTTTTCATAATGCTAGCATATGTTGTCACAGGAGAAAAGTTCAGCTTCAAACATGACAAAGCTGATTTTATCAAGTGAAGGTACAATGGTCACACTTTCATGCTGCCCTGTTGCAAGTCACTTCCTGACTAGTGAAGACTAATGTTTATTTCAAATAATATTACAATGATTTTTATCTATGTGAAAGCATTAAAATTAAAAAATTAGCTATCAAAATGCTGATGACATTCAAGGTGCTAAAATATTTGACAACAGAGAGCCGAAATTTGCATGTATTTTAGCATCTCACACTGTATTACCAATTTATTTAAATATGATAGAACTGTGCCATAAAATATGATGTATTAGAAGCTATTAAGAATCCCTAGTGTGCAAAGCACATTACCAACTCATATAAAAAGTGGTACTAGTACCTTGTATGAAAAGAGCTCCAAAGCAAGCTTTCATTTATGATCACCTGTTCCTTCTTTTGAAGAAGTTAAACTTCGTACACTGAATAAAGATTCAGCTTCCTATTTCCAGTTCATACCTATTGTACCCCTTACATGTTAGGCTGAAATTTACAGTACTGTTAATAATGTTCTCTGGTCAGAAAAAAAAGGGCTCTTGCATGATGCAGAAACATATAGGCTTAATGTTAGCCCAGTACTGAACCGCAACACAGCTAGGAGGAACAAAGGGACAGTAAAGACCTTTACACAATTTTATCTGAAAGATTAAAAGCTCAAGAGAGCTTAGAGATTCACTGCCTATTAACCTACTCTTGCAGTCTAATTTCCTAAGGGACCTTGTTACAACCACACCTAAAGGTATCAAACTTCTGAAAACAACAAGTTATCAACTTCTGGAGACATTCTGATCCTTTAACTTGGATACAAGAGGAAGGAAATAAGGGTTTGGTTTGTTCTGTTTAGAAAAGAATAATATAGACACAAAAAAAGAACACAGGACATGCTCCTAAAGATGGCTGCTTTGCAGATGAGTCTGCACAACATACACATATGACTAACCCATAGCAAAACTATCCCACAAAACACATGGACACACGTGCATACATACCCTTGCTGAAGAGCAGCAGAATCTAACACAGCAGCCTTCACACAGGACTAAGCATTATTATATTCAAGAACTTTGTTCAGTTTGCATACTACACTATTCTACCTACATCGGAAGGAACCAAACCTTTTCTGAAATCTTGTCCCAACGAGAGTGTTCTTATTTCAGTACATTAACTGCCTACGAAGAATTACACTATACGTTTGCACAGGTATTGCTAATTACCTTGTTTGTCAGCTGTCAATGAGAATTAATAAGCTAACAGGTTTTTACTGTGGAAAGGCTGGCAGTTGTTGGTACAGATAGTTAAAAACTAAGCTTGTCAAATTTTACTGCATCCCGTCCAAAAATTACAAACCTTCTTACCATCTATAAGCAAGACTGCTCCTGATCCCTTGTCAAGAACATCAGCAACAGTTGAAACAGAAGTTAACTGTCCTGTAAGAAAAGAACATATACATGTTGTAAGGTCTTGCTTCAGGAGTGAAGCCCACAGATCACTCTTTACTCTTACCTACTAAGAATAATAATGGTGATAATAATCATAGTAATAGTCATAGTAAACATTGTCATGATTATAATAAAATAAGAATTTATTTAACATCTGAGAATCTTTGCAAATCTTGGTTTGTAGATGTAAGAATTTTTTTTAATAGAATCTTGATATAGTTTATAAATTCAGAGCTAAACACAAGTCACATATCAGACTCAAACACATCACTAACTTCAAAGATAGCTCCAATCACGTAAGAATTGTCCACAGATTTCAAGAGGGCTGAGACAAATACAGTTCTACAAAAGAGAAGCTCAGCTCAGGGGCTGGGCCTGTGGGTTTACAAAGTTTATAAAGAGGTTATTGCTCTAGAGATATGTAACCATATATGTTTACACAATCAGCCTACGGAATGGAAAAACAAAAAGCTTTATTGTGTCTTGGCAATCCACTACATTAACTTAAAAGAGGTTTGATAATTAAAAACTTTCACACATCTCCTTTTGGTTTTGACAAGAAATTATGCCATTTATCTGTGGCTTGCAAGATTTTGTTTTTCCCTCCTACACTCTGGAAAAGTTCATTTTTAAAAACTACTACTGAAGAAACATGCATGCATGCATATCCTGAATGAGACTAATAAACACCTCTCAAGTGGTATAATCTGGAAAAACATAGCCTCCTGTGAAATGAGCTTGGTAGTGCAGTAACTACTATCTTGAGAACTTTGAGAGGAAGAAAACTAATTGTTTTTTAGCCTGTTGTCACCTGTTCACTGAGATGTCCATTCCTCCTTCACATACACAACTTAAATCTTATCCTCTTAAAGGCACACAGATGCAACCAATGTTGAAGCATTTTTAGCTAAATATCCTAAAAGTTCCATAATACAACCTTACAGAAAGAATTAAAAGTTCCTCTAGTTAGTATCAAATTATATGAGTAATACACCAGCATGTAGTGTTTTTGTTCACTATCAAAGATTAGGCATGATTTTACTAAGCATACTATAAAAAAGTAAAACCTGATACCACCAAGACAGAGTTTCAGAATTCCTTCAATAACAGGTTGCCTCTCTTCTCCCCCATCCCTTTTACAAAGAATATGCAAAAAATCCAGTTGCACAGCCTCACTATTTCAATTTATCATATGGCTACAGGAACTGTTGTCATAGTGAAAAGCAAATCAGCAACACACAAGGACTGACCTGAGGTTGGTAATGGTTTATACAGTTCCAGATATTGCTCACCATGCAGCATCTATGTAAAGAAAGGCAGCACTATAACTATAATATTGATATATTCTACTGCTTCCTCCATCACAAGTGCAAGGAAATATGCAGTTATTTTAGAAAGTGTTCAGAACAAACAAAAATAAGAAAAAAACTTTTGGGTTTTCTGTTTTGTTTTTTTTCCAATTTCATCCTCAACAAAGTATTTTCAAATAAAGTTTTAAACTTTTGAGGTTTAATAAAAGCATAGTGAACACAATTAAAAAGTAATTAAATTAATTAAATTTGTTTATTAAAATTTAACAAAACCTTGATTGTTCATACCATCTTAGGGAAGATACAGGTTATACAAGTGAAGTACACGAATAATTTCCTAGGCTGTAAGAATACAAAACACTGCATTTTCCTTTTCTAGAATAAAGGGAACTTATTAGTATTACAAACATATAATTAAAGTAATCTTATAATTATATAAAGCACAAATGGAATTAGATGTTTAACCCTTACATACCTTTGCAAGATCAATATTTAGTCCTGGAAGAGAAGGAACACCACCAAACATGGAAGTCTGAGCAGGAATTACTCCAAAGCTAGGTAAACAACAGAAGTCTTCACTTCCTTCAAAGAGAAATTTTAGGTGATCTGGATCCTTAGTTGACATTCCCACACCAAGGGCATATAGAATAGGCTCTAAGTGAGTATATTTATACACGTTGGTAGCCAATTCTCGGCCAATAATGCTTGCCTGGAAATTAAAAGTCAGTACAAAATAAAACTTAAAAATATTTAATATTGCACTTGCATGCTTTCTATAATTCTCATATCAAACAATATTCCCATCTGAGCATCTCCCTTATAGTCACATGTAAACATAAAGTATGAGCAATTAATATACCATAAAAAATTAATGTATTTGTTGCAGTACAAGCAACTCTAATGTAATGTATTATATCTTGCTGCAAGCAATTTGCTTCAAGTAGTACAACTTCATGCAGCTCTACTCCCAGCAATGCATAAGAATTTTCTTAAAACAAACCACAAATGAAACAATTAGCACTGTAATAAGACTGAAACAAGGAAAAGTTATCTGTCTATAGAGAAGGAGCCAGAGCAAAATCATGTTGCCCAACAAGACCTGTCCTCTGCCCCTTTTCTGAACAATACCCTAACTAAAGAGGCTTTCAGTACTTATGAGCACTTGCATTCTGCATTATTGAGTCTATTTAGTCTTAAGTTTTACCATAATCAAGAAAAATAAAGAGTGGAGTCTGGAAATGTTTCTTATTCTGCTTCCTCATTTCACAGTTTAAAACACGCCTTTCTTTTTGCAGAAAGCAAGCCAGAGCAGAAAGAAGCTGATCAGCAACAGAAGTCTCTCTTCTCAAGGTTTTCAGCTAATTTTGAGTGCATATGGTAGACAGAGGGACTTACCATGTCAACAGATGATGAGACCACTGACCCAGAGCTTGTTGAATTGATAGAAACATTCCCTTGAGACTCTATCTGACTTAGAGCATCATTCAATACACTTATGGACTCTAGAAAAATTAGTTGAAACAAAATCACTTATAAATAGCCATAAATTAGATGCTCCAGTTAGACACACAATAAACAAGCCAACAAATAAGATACAGCCTGGTACTTCTCAATTCATTTTTGAACACAGGAAACAAACATCTGCAAACTGAGCATAGTGCTGCATTTTACAGGCACCTACACAACAGTTGATGACAAGTGATCTCTACACCAGTTCCATCAGTTCTGCACAAAGCAGTCAACCTATCTAATCCAAGCACCTGAAACACAACTGGTGCCATATACCACCATTCAAGCCAAGAGGAATGCATCAGTAAATACTTTGTTTTATTCCCTGAACCACAGTGTCAAGATAATAACGAGCATTACATTTCAACTGTCTCAAAAGTAAACATCTGAAAATTAGCGCTGCTTTTTTTATATTGAAAATTATTTGCAATACAAGTAACAGGTCTCATCGCCTGGCAGTTACCCTCTTTCCCAAGTCATATAAGTAAAGAAATATGTCTGAGGCTTGAGCAATGCCAAGATTACAAGAAAGAAGATGCACAGCTCAGATACAGAACTCAGCTATGGTAAAGACATGCGTTCAAGAATAACTTGCTTGTTGAAGGTCAACATGGCTAAAACCAGTATTAAACATTCATGTGTTGAAAGAATCAAACAAAAAGTGGTGAGAAACATGCACAGAAAAATTTAAAGTTTATAAGTGGAGTACAAAATCATCACTTAACTACTTTTACCTTGGAGCCGCTCACTTCTGCTTCAAAACCCCTATACCCACACTGACTTGCACTGTAGCTCAGACTCATACTGTGCTGCTCTATTTCACAACATTGCCTGCAAGGGAGCTGCATACCCTCCTCTTGAACAATCTTGATTTCTTGCTTCCCTTTCGCACTGCCAGAATCATCATAATGTTTTATTTATGGCCTGAACCTCATGAAGAAAAAAGAGCATATACGAAACACAGATTTGTTTTCACCTCCTGCTAAAGACAAGCTTTATCTTTGGGCACAAGCGCTGACATAACATGACACGAGATTATGACATTTACATATCGTGAATATGTACAAAATGAGATTTTTAACTTAAAAGAACACTTTAAAAGGTAATCGCTTTTATCCCTTTTTTTCATTCATTAAATGAAAGAAGGAAAAGCAATACTGAGCTGCTGGGAGAAGCAACAGACTGTTTCTACCTTTCTTGCATCAACCAAAGAAAGGCTTTCACATTGCTTTAAACTCTTTAAGGGAAAATACAGCTCTGATCTCCAAGCAAATCTAAATATTTCCTCAACTTTACACGTCCACAACCCATTTCCATGCAGTAACATAATTATCATTCTTAATGGTGAAATCTGAAAAGAAGATTACCAAAATATATTTTACGCGCAATGACATCATTAATACAAACAGTATAAAAACAACCTGTAATTTAATAATGGTGCAGAACACGACAATCTCCTTTTCAAGGAGTCTTTCTTCCAGAATATATTATATGACTGGACTCTCAACTTTGTGAGCTAGCTAGTGTGTGGCTGAACACTAAGGAGATGTGGTGTTGTTCACCTTTAACATCAAAGGCCTTAACAAAATTGTTTTTTTTAAACTTTGGCCTACTGCTATATCTGTAATCAGGACAGCACTTGATCTGGATCATTCTAGAATCATTTAGTAACACTTTTATTGATTTTTAAAGCATAGGCATGCAGAAAAGGGTGTCTTTAAGGATGGAATGTTCTTTCAAGGACTCCTGGGTTAATTACTTTATCTTTGACAGACATCAACTGCGTGAGATATGTCCACAGTTCTAGGACCAAATTTATAGAGAGGTATCAGTAGAAAGTATATGTTATGATTTATGTTTCGAGGTGGTATTCATCCTTTAATATCAAAGCTACTTTTAAGATGTTGCCTCCTTAGATTGCCTGAAAAGTTTAAGCTATTAGAATATAATTAAATGTAGGCAGCAAAGCTTTTTTTTTTTTTTTTTCCCTAATAAAGAAAGGGAGAAAAAAATGTAATTTTGTTTCTTCCTTCTGAACTACTACGTTACAGAACTTCCAGTTAAGAACTCCAGGCAACTGAAATGTCTCAACATATTAATTTATTTCAGTCTTCACTATTCTTCTGCTGCCTGGCACAAAAAACTGAACTAGTATAGCATTAGATTTAGAGTGATATTCTAGCAGCTGAACAGATACCAATCCTTCACCTTCAATGAAAGAGTAAATTAGACTACTGCATTAAATACAAAGGTTATGATCAAATACATTGCTATGAGCTAACAGATTGACAAAAAAGAAAGACAAAACATTACAAAATCACTGATACGTTTTGACACTGATAAGGATGGTTTCAACAGTCTTCATTTTGCAATCATTTTGAATACCGAAAAATTAAAGAGATGGGGAGGGAAGCACAGAGTGGTACATGAGTTTTCAGTCATGTAAACACATAGGGATGTTTCAGCACTAGACTTATGACAATTTGTAGTTTTTAATAAATGACTACACAAGCTGAGTAAACCTCTAAGATCCAAGAAGTAGCTCGAGGGATATAACTCTGTCAGAAACAAACCCAGTAGGAATCCTTTCCATTAATATAATTATTTTAAATACTGATTTTGGGGTATTTTAATTACCTGTTATACTATCAGTGAACTCTAAAACCTTAAATGTTCACTACCCAAGCATGGTCTGCTATTACAGAGCAAATGATTAGCAGATAGCAGGAAAAGATCAACCTGAAGAGCAAAGGTTGAAAATAGTGACTGCAAAGTCTGACTCTTTCCAAAAGTATTTCTCTCACTTTCCAGTTAGGGAACACTGCACGTGAACCATACTCCTTAACTGTTGAGGAAATGCCACCACTGTTTAAACTCTTTTTAAACATATATGAAGAAAGCTGAAATTGAAGGGGGAACAGTTTTGTTCTTATGCATAATTTTTCTTTATATACACACAAAATATACATGCATACATACACACACACCTTCTACGTGCTTTATGCTGATCTGCTCTATACCAGAGATAAGCTTTTGCAATGTGCTAAAAATGAGCCATACTCAAGTTGTTTTCTGTATCTTGACAGCTTCTAAGAGAATTAAAAATGCATGTGAACATAAGGGCAGACTACAGACCTCTAAGATACTAGACTTAGCTCAAAGTGGGTCGTATCTTCACAACTGAGGGGGGAATCGGGACAGAGAGAGATTGCCTCATACAGGTAACAGGCATAATTAATTCTGTTTTCTTAGATAACAACACAACCAAACATACCAACCTGTGCAATACATACTATGGAATGCTCTATAGTACACAATCTGCAAGACAGGGAAAGTTGTCTTCCACCTATCTCACAACTCCACTTGATTTCTCCCTTTACATAACAGGAAGAATTGAACTAGGACACAAGAGCAAGGAGTGCACTGTGGACTCAAGGGCTACTGGATCTAGCTTTGTCTGAGAGGGAATACAAGGAGACAACATGCCAACATTCAGTGCCATTTTCAACTGTGATCTACTGCACATGCACCACACATTCAGAAGCTTCCGTATCACATTTAATTTGGTTTTTCTGATTATGCACAGGCACAAGAGCCCAGGACCTCTCAGTATCTCAAAACATGGAATCATGTTACCATGACAAATATGTCAGCTCAGTAGATCCAGCTGCAAAGGAGAGCCTGAGTAATTCTCTTCTAGTACTAGTTAAGCCAAGTCACATTATCCTGCAATTGCTATTGCCTAAGGGCATACAGGGAGCCTGTTACAGAGACTCAATGTAAATTGATTGTGTCCTAACCTTAAGGCTCTTGATTATGCCCTGTTTATCTTCTTGAAAGATTTCTATTTTGTTCTGAAGTGGTATAAAGTAAGCTAAAACTATTGTTTCAGTTTAATCATTAGTAAGAAAACATCATCATCATCATGCATGACTTAAGTCACTGCAGATTCACTGCTGCTTCGGAGGCAGTGACATTTTCATATTGCTTTAACTAGATAGTTACCTTTCAGTCCTGGTAAAGGGAATGTAGCAAAATACACACTAGCAAAACTACATCTTCCACTTCTTCAACTTTCTAAGGCCTAAATTCTCACACAGCTTCAAAAAAAAAAAAAAAAAAAAAAGCTGGTTGTTCTAGGATTTTTCTGATGTTAAAAAGACATCATGTAGTGAATGCACAAGTAATCATGTCTTTAGCTAGTTAACATGACTATCCCTGAAACTGTAGGGGAGGGAGAACAAAGGAAGTGCCAGAAGTTCTCCAAGTTCATCAAGGACTAAGTTTAGGAAATAACTCCAGAGAACATTCAAAGACACCTGAGGAAAGTGAAAAGGCAGGCATAGTCAGTTACACCACTGACTGTGTCAGATAGCTTTTGGGGTGAGGGGAAGTGTCTGTGCAGTGGTGGTGTTGTGCAGTGTGGTCTTTTGCGCACAATCAGCAGCTGCACGTCTAGAAAGATGTAAGGCAACTACCAAGAAAGACTGCTTTACTGAGCATACTATCACAACCTCTGGAAAACTTCTATGAGGTACTGAATTAACATCAATTGCTAAATCAAGTGACAATTATCTATTTCCTATTAATTAAAATTGCACAAACCCTATAAAATCATATTCTGGTACACAAGGAAGAGTTTTTTAGCTTGATTCAGTTTATCTGCCAAGAGAACAGGTTAAGTCTACAACCTGAAGAAGTGCTTAAAAAAAGTCAGAAAAGATGGAAAGAAAAATTTGGATCTTTTTAAACTGTTTTTAATAAAAAAGAATTCAGTGTTTTAATTTCTTAAAAAAACACTGCTAAAATATAAAGATGAGCCTGTACTTCCATTTAGTCTTCCAGAGTTCAGCATCTCCAGCAGAATGACCTTAGCTAAAATGGGCAAATATGACTGTGCTCTAGTTAAACATCAAATAGGTGCTTTGCTAGGCAGGGCTCTAAATGCATGATCACACAGACATTACATATGGAGCATTTAATTTATTTATCTCTAAGAGAATGGCTTCCCCCTATGCTTGCAAAAAAGAGAATCCAAAGTAACAAAAAAAGAAGAGTAAAACATAAATCCAAGTATTCAGTTACGTATGATTGTTACACATGTAAAAAAAATTACTTTCAAAACAACCCTAACCTGCTTTTTTTGCAACCTAGAAGGAATAAATTCAAACTGCTCTTATCAGTATGCCCAAATAATTAAACAAGATCAACATCTCTGATTATGGTATTTTCTACTATATTACAAGCAAACACTTTATCTAATTGGTATTTTTTATAATTATACATAATGGTTAGTACATGATTGCTCATGTAAGAATTCAAATTACTGAAATTAATGAAATCTCAGAGTTTTAATTTGCAGATATTAGGTATTGTAGATTTTCATTTTTAATGCAAGCGCTCTAATTGGTTTCCCTTTTTTAACAGTTGAATTCTTTCAAGCAATAAGGTGGAGACTTTAACAGCATTCTTTTAATATAGAACTGAAAATTCTATTCAGCTAACTTCTTCAGAATTTCAGTTTTCATTCAGCCTGGCAGTACCTGTAACTTAGATTTAGAAACTCATATGCATTTGGAAATGGGACCTCTGTAAGCCAAAGATCAGTGAAAACAGTCATTAAGGTGATATAGAACTACTGTATGGCTGGTTACATTCCTCTACCAAGATCTGAGGCAAAGGACAAAGTGTTTTCTATTCTGGTTTAGGCACCTAAAAATATATACATAAGGTTTTAACAAAATGTCCTAATGGATTTCAGGACTGTCCTGGTTTTGTCTGGGATAGAGTTAGCTTTCTTCATAGTAGCTAGTATAAGGCTATGTTTTGGATTTGTGCTGTGAAGAATGTTGATAACATACTGATGTTTTCAGTTGTTGCCAGGCAATATTTTCATTAAGCCAAGGACTATTCAACTTCCTATGCTTTCTTAGTGTGCAGATGCAGGAGAAGCTAGGAGGGAGCACAGCCCCAATTACTGGCTTAGGATTCGACCTTGAGACCCTAGTTGGCCAATGGTATATTGCATATAACACACACCATAACCTGTATATTGTGAGGATCCGTCTGGAAGCTTGCTTTCCAGCTCTTGAGCTTTTCTGTCTCTTCTAGGATTACCATCTTGGGACTTTCTCTGCTCTGGGATTGTTAGATGGGAAGAGGCTTGGCCTTGGTCATGGGGTGGTAAGCAGCTGCACTGTGTATCACTCATTTGTATACTTCTATATTATCATTACTATTTTCAATGTTATTGTATTTCAGTTATTAAATTATTCTTATCTCAACCCACAAGTCTCTTTTCCCTTTACCCCTTTAATTCTCTCCCCCACTTCCAGAAAGGGGATTGGGGGGGGGATGGGGGAGTGAGTGAGCAGCTGCATGGTATTCGTACCAACTGGCTTAAACTACAACAAGGACCAACAGCTTAAACATCTACTGTGTACCTAAGTATCTCTGAAAATCAACTGGCATTGTACGTAAGGATGCCTCTTTCCCTTTTTTCATCCTCCAAACACTTAAATGCTGGCATTTCCTAATTTGACAAATACTCAGTCTTTGACCTAAATAATGACATGCATAATAACAAAACAACCATCAGTGGTACTAAGCACATGTAACTTACACTAACAAGCTAAACATAACATCTTGAGAAATCTTGGAAAGCAGTCAGGAAAATTAGTCCGTATGGTTCCTTTATGAACTATGGCAACTATGGATCTAAATAAAGAGAGGCACAAGAGAACAAAGAGAAAGCCTGGAAGAAGAAAGAGAAGCAAGTATGGCAGCAGGAAAGATCAGAGTCATTTTGCCTTAAAAAAAAAGAAAAGAAAAAAAATAAAGAAGGAACAAAGAAAGCAGACAAAGCATTGGAAGAGACAGTCTTCTTGGTCACCAGCTAAGAGGGTAGTAAGGAAGAACTTCTTTGCTGTGTTATACCAAATAGCTTAACCAGAGAGATTTTTGGTATGGAAATGTCTACCAAAAACCAAGATTCCAGGACTGAAAAGAAAATACAATCTCTCTATTGCACTGCTACTACCTGTATGTAGGCACAAGCAAATAAAACACTACCATTAATGTGCCTGTAATACATAAAATTACAGTGATGTCACTTCCCTAGAAACTCTTAAAAAATACTAAACTGTCTTAATTCTATAGGAAAGAACACAATGAAGTTTCCTTAAAGAGATCTGACTGTACTGGAACAGAAAATGATTAATGTTACATGTTTACAAAAGAATTCACAGGTTTCGCAGACTTTTGAAGCAAGGTTTCAGCAATGACTGACAAGAAAGCGTTCTCGTCTAAGCTTTGCATGCCCAAACTACCCACATTATCAGAGTCTCATTTACCTTGTATACTTCTGGGTTTGCTGGCATTATCAAAATCACAGACATTCTCCCATTTCTCTCTCACTGCTTCAGGAGTCATTGGTTGATTCTTTCCTCTGACAATAGCACCCAAGGATCGCTCCCAGCGCACTAATGGGAAACATGAGTCAGAGAATTCCAATGACAGAAAGAAACTTTTAGCTTCTTTAGATCACATTCATGTAGGCCTCTACTTTCAAGACGGTGCAAGAAAGGAAAGGCTGCAAGTACTCCAGTTTAACTCGATATAGCTTCAACCTGGACTAAAAGGGCTCACTGCTTTTAACTAGTATTTAGAAAATGAATAGCACTGGTTTTAAATTTCATTAAAGCCACTACAGACTGACTGCTCTCTAAAATATTACATGAGTTTTAGGATTGTTAAAAGTTGTAGCTAGTATGTATCTACAGACATTCTCTTCTGACATCATGTTGGCTACAAATGCTTAGGAATCCTCTGAAAGTCTTGGAAAACTATAGGGAAAATGTGAAAAACACTTGCTGTCTATGAAAGAATGTTAATACCAGTAGCCAGCATCTCCAAATGGTCCCTGCAGTTGTATTTTAATACGATAACTTGAGAGAAACTGGTAAGGCTAATGTGAAATCAGTTCTGGAAGGATACAGACTTCTTGGATTGCAACTAATCCTTAATCTGTCTTGTTGGTTTTGCTCTTAATTAGCAATAAACAATGAATAAGGCCATACTCAATCCTCACTAACAACCTGGTTTCATTTCAAAGACTTCATCAGCAGGCATTATAATAATGAACAAATGGTATTTTCTTTTGACCAGAGAGGAGAAGCCACAGATTTTCAGCTGTATTAAAACTCAGCTCCTTGTGGAAGCCAACAGGAGGTTTTATGCTGCTGCCCCAATCTGTTTAATCTGTTTAATACACTACCTCGGAAAAGCTATTCTGGTGCTATCAGAACATTTAGAGTTAGTTAGAAATTTAGAAAATCTTTATCAAGTGAGCAAAAAAATGTTTGGGAAGAAGGGGGAACCACTTCTTGAATTAACAGCCCTACTTCCAACCCACTGGTGATATTCACATAGGCTTGAAGTCCTTGAACAGTTCAGGAAAATAATGCTGGTATTAGATTTAACATATTTATGAAAAAAGTCGAGACATTTCACACACTGAACTAAGTTTTCCAAGTCGTAAGCCCTTAGTATTGTCTGTGAGTCTTCTTTACGTTCATATTTAAGCTAGTTATTGGAGTTACTCAAGAAAAAAGCTAGCATTGCTACTGGTTGTTAAGATGGCTAATTGCCTCAACATGTTAATGTATGTCACTAGTATTTTTATAGAAGTATAAATAAAGGTGGAAAGCAACTAAAAAGCAGCATGTTTACCAGCATGTGCTACTTTTATACCACAAAAAATAGAAGTTATCAAGTAAAGGCAGCAATGTATACTTAGCACCAAAAATGGAGATTCTTCTTGACTCAATTATACCCTTGGAATCCACAAGTTAAGGTTACTTAGGCAGATTTTCAGTTACTATTCGTCAGCTCAAAAGCATAACAAAGCACATACCTAAGTTACCAGTTTCCCCCATGCGTAGTGAAATTTGTGACACTTACTTAAAATCAGCAGTCTCCTCAGAACCCTAAGCTTTTGCTAATCTCTCCCTGAATATAAATGTCTCGAGCAGAGGTTAATTGCAAAGACAATTTGTACAGTTCTGTTGTCAATTAAAAAAACAAAATCAATCCTGCAACAAAAAGTACTTACATTTTCCAATCCACCCAGCTCCTACCTGCCAAGAAAAAAAGAAAATTGTCAGCTTACCACGTTACAAAACAAAGTTTTGGTAACATAGGGAAACAACACTTCAGAAGAAACTCAGCATCATAAGTTTCTCTACTCGTTGTATTTAACAGTTTAGTTAAGCACTGGAATGTGAGCAACATAAAACTCTAAGAGAAGGATAACAGCTTCCATCCAATTTATGGCCTAGCAGTTTGATGACAATACATACAATGTATTCCATAACTAAGTAGTTCATGCTTCCTGCAAATGGCTTTCTGTGTTTGAATGATTTAGACAACACAAACTTATTTTGAAGTAGTTGCTTTAGTACCTTTTCAAATTGATAAGGATACAATAAGATTTGTAACAATCAAATCAGTAGTATTTTGAGCACACATCAGAATTTGACAAGGTTATTACTGCCTGATGTACTTGTCATATGTAGCAAGACAGGGTCAACATGTCTTCTGTCTGTGCTGAGTATGTAGTATCTCACATGATAATTCAGTTTCAGCAAAAAAGTTAAGACTGGACAGGCTAAAGCAAATGGCTGATTGCAGGGAAAGTGGCAAAGAGGGGAAAGAAAATGAAAATCAAAAAGTTACCTCAAACAGACCGCCATTCTCCGCACAGCTTTCGTGGCAAAGCCAAACAACTAAGGGAGCAACATACTCCGGTTTGAAAGCATCGACCAGATCTAGAGCAAATTGGAGGGAGGAATCATAAAATATAAATGCTGTATGGTTTCATCAAATTATTCTTACTCTAACATTTTCTGATTAACAGCAGAGCCAGGTAGAATTTAACCAATAGTGTTCTGCCATGAAAAGAAAGGACAAATGAAATGAAACATTTGAAGATTCATTAAATATAAATAACTGATGAGATACGTGTATGTCTCCAAACCGAATGACACTGGTTCTTGACCAGACAGATGACAGTCTGTCTAAATGTTGAGAAAACTGTTAACATGCAAACTGTAAAGCCAGGTACCTTCCTGAATTTCCATGTGACAAGAAGCCTGAAACAAGGACAAGCCAGCTAGACATAATTCTGATGGAGATGTACCTCAGCAATTTCCCTTTTAATTTGCTTGTCAGTTATAAAGAAAATAAAATGTTAAAAGAATTGCAGCTTTTGAATATTTGAGAAACATTCCACTCAGAAATGCCAGTATTTCCAAATGAGACACCAGGAATTATTTTTGCTGAACTGATATATCAGTTTTATTCTTGGATTTTCATTGTCATCTGGCACAAGAAAAAATTATCTGAAAATGGAGGTGTTGTCATGGAGCAGAGTGTGGTTGTCCAGGCAGGTCTTACCACGTATTCTGTCCACTTTCTGAAAAGAAAAATTAACTTTAATTTCCTTTTTCAGCCTTTAGAATATGATTCTTTCAACAGCAATAGATACATAGCTATTTTTCAGCTAAAGGTCAGCAAGCATTCTCAAATATACCCTGACAGATGAAGAGCTGGGAAAGTTTAGCATTACAGTTTCTTCTTTAATAGCCAAGCCGAAGTAACAGAAGCTCATTTTTAGAAGTTCCACAAAGGTAAAAGGAAAATGAACATCATTTAATATGGCCTTTTGTAAGTGCATAACAAAAGCCTTAGGCTTTTCTAAAGTATCCCACTTTATGCCACACACCATAAATTAGCACTAGACTGTTGTCACTAATGCTATCAATCCACTATTGAGTGAATTTAAAAATAGGTGGCAGAAGTTTAAAAAAAACCAGACAAAGGACACACAGTACATTTAGAGTTCTAGCAAGAACTAAGTGGGTGAAGTTGAACAAACACAACAGTGGCAAGGCTAAAGTGCAGTTGCTTGCTGACATGTAAAAATGAACAGGAAAGTACTGACTAAGATAGCAAGGATAATATGATAAGACATATGATTTTCACGTTCTGGTGTCCAAACCTTTTAAGAGTATTTGAAAAACTGGACAGGGAACGAGGTAAGAAATTAGTGGTCAGAGCTGTAACTATCTTGTAGGGGAAACCAGAGGATCTCACTCTTCTGAAAATTACTAAGAAGAAAAATTAGAAGGTGGTTTTACCACCCTTTGTAAATACTGTCAGGAAATTCCAGCTACTGAACTCCACTTTACTCTTCAGGAACTCAGGACTACAAGCTTAATGTATTTGACTCTTCTGTAAATAAAGTGCAACAATTCCCTGGAACCTACAACTTACAGAAGTGCCAGACTTCCTGATCACTTGGATAATTTAGACCTAAACCAGGATACTTTACACAGAACTTAATCAGTCAAACAAAATCATGCATTCAATCCTTGCATAACTATATAAAACATATTATTCTTCAGTATCTTGTATATCAGTCCCCATCACTAGGGAAAAGAAGGGTGGGAAGAAAATGAAAAAGGTTAATTCTGTAAGACTTTCTCAGAACAACTTCTTTTTATAGGCTTTTTTTTTTCCAAATGCTTTTTGTTACTTCTGGTCATTTGGCAAATTAGTCACTTTATTTATCCTAAATTTACACTTTACACACAGCTATCTCCTACAACTTTCTTTATGTTGACTCCCAAATGCAGTGCTCTGTTAAAACATGTTCAAGCATTTGAAGATTAATAACTGTGCAATAAATAAAAAACACAATATATCAGGCAACTCAGTTCATTATTATCTCCTGCTGATCACAGAACAAAAAAGTACGAGCATGACGGTTGGTGCAAAAAATGGTATTTTGCAATTAGACAATATCTTAACAAGTGCAGACACCTCATGCATGTACCTGATTCCACATCTGACGACACAAACAAGCCTTTCCACTACAGTAGAGGGATCTTCGAAGAGACTATAATAAAAGAGCCTGGCCACATGAAATTACTTTTGTGAATTACAAAAATTGCTTATCTTGTGGCAGAAAATAATTCCTTACAACAGACAAAGTAACTGTGTTGATGGTTCAGAGACAAAAAGACAGTAGGAGTAATAAATTAGCAGTGTCTGAAGTGTGTAAGATTTGCATTTTCTAAGAGATAGGAAAGTTAGCTGTGCTTCTATTAACTGAAAAATATCAGTACATGTAGACTTTAATGATTCACCTTGTGGCATTACAGTCTGGGTCAGTCTGGATCCAGCAGTAGGAGCAATTGTGTTGCAGTGGATGTTATACTTCCGGCCTTCAATTGCAATTGTGTTTGAAAGACCCAAAAGGCCAAGTTTTGCAGCACTGTAGTTTGCCTGACCAAAGTTTCCATATATTCCAGCGGCTGAGGAAGTCATAATTATTCTTAGGAAAGAGGAGGAAAAAAAAAAAAAAAAGGCAGGAAAGAAAAAGTTAAATTATTTCTTCAAGTTGTTTAAATCTACACAACAGCATTTCACCGTGTATTCTGCCTGCTGATCTCTTTCCTTATCCTTACAGTTCAACTCCCTGGATGACAATAAATGTCAGCTTGATCCCAGAATGACAAAGAAGCTCACACAGCTTTCAACATGTGGGTATGGTTGTTAAGATTAACACAACCATGTCAGTGTTTTGATAAGAAAAAAACAACAAAAGTGAAAAAACTTCAGGGTTTGAATTCACTGTACTCTTTCAGTTAACAGTAGCATATCCCAAAACAGAATAAGAACACTACCACAACTTCTAAGACAAATACATTAATCCAAAGGGGAAAAAAAACCAAAACAAAACAAAACAAAAAAAAACCAGCCCCAAACAAAAAAAACAAGATCCACAAGCAGAACTTCATTAAGAAGAAGCGCTCAGAGTTGCAGTAACATACAAGTAACAAACATTTCTAACCAGTGCTCATGAAAAGAAATGGTATTTCCATAACTTTACAGCTCCTGCCTAGGATATTTGCATCTACATGGGAAAAACCTTTAAACATTTGTCTGGGGAGGCAGAGGAGGACAGAACTGAAAGGACAAGGGCTTACACATTGGACTGATTTTGTTTCATCCCAGTGACAGCAAAAGAAAAGGATGCAAAACTCCTCCTTCACTGTCAGGATATGAAACAGTCTGCTACACTGTACTGAAAAAGCGAAAAAAAATGACAAATTTTTACCTGCCGAATTTCTGATTTTTCATATGATTCCATGCAGCTCGAGTGACCAGGAAAGATCCCCTCAAATGAATTCTATGAATTATATCTAGGAACAAAATAATGGCGGTTTAATAATTCCAGGATTTCATCTTCCAACTTGAAAAACACCATTTTTTTCCTTTTCATGACAAAAACTGCACTCTCGTCACACTCTCAAACTGTTACTAAAACAGTGGTGGGCTTTTTTTTTTCTTTTTTATAAATCATTTTGAAATGCCTGCCTGACCATACACTGATCATCTCTTCTGCCTCCTGGATGAAGCTCTACTGTATAGAATTCACAGACATCCAAAAATTCCTCCACTTAAGCACAGTCAAACAAGGACTGCAGAAGCTAGACCACCTTTGCAAAAGTTTGCTCAACTGGCTTATCATCACCTACCATCTCACTGAAGGTTCCCCCTGTTCTTCTGTCCCTTGGCTCATCAGCTTTCTTTCCTCTGATGTTAGTTGTGGGTCTTTTAAGCCTGTTTAGCATTCAGCCAAGCAGTGCTGGCACTAGGAATTCACTCTGCTCACAAAAACTATTGTGTGTTTATTTACATGGCTCTTTTTGTATTCCACTCAGCAACTAGGAGTGGCTGCTAGAGCCTTTCTTCCCCTTTGGAACTACATACACCTACCATGCACTGCATCACAGATCTGGTTTGCAAGCTGAACACAAGGCAGCTGAACGCAAGCAACTCACCACTAAGCTTTCAGAGCAAAAGATAACTCTCTGAACTGACACAGACAGCCTTCCTCACCTTCTCTTCTTCCCTGTACCAATGAGAGGGATGTACCGTTCATCTTTCACATAGAAAATACTTTTTAAAAGGTATCAACTTACCCCAATCTTCATCACTTATCCGAACAAATGAACGGTCTCTTAGGATCCTAAAATGCATTATCAGGAGAACAAAACAAACAAACAAACATAAGACAAACAGCTGTTTAAGCAAAGTGACATCCCATAATCCCACAGGAAAAAAAACTTCAGGTTTACTCACCCAGCATTGTTTATAACAATATCTGCAAAAAATCAGAAAATAAACTAAGGGAATGCACTGATAAAATTCAAGCTTGTTTCTATTTTTCTCCCACTTCTAAAAATATATATAGACAACCAGACCACTGCACGCATACATCATGTTACTATGCTATAGCTCCTTGTCCTGAAGAGTGGAAATCTACCATTTGACAATAATTAAGGCAAGATAAAATACTTCAGTACAGGCAAGTCTCAGTCTGCCAAAAGAAGAAAGCTTGACAGAGAGGTATAGCTGAGAAGTGCTGGCTACCTGGGAACACAATACCTGCAGGATGCAGCCATCCTGCAGTTTTGCAGCTTGCTTTGAATTCCAGGGTGCCCCGATTACGCAGTTTGTGCCATTATCTTTGTTGCAGTAAGTACAAATGATGACTGGAAGAACCACAGAGTCACAGAGCCACTAGAGGAACCTGGATCACAACAATTTTTTGCCAAATATTTAATTTAATTCCTGTCGGCTTTGATCACATGTACTTTCAGCCATTTAACCCTGAACTAAAATCATACAAACTTCACAATTAAACGGTGGCAATCCAATGGTAAAGAGGAACACTACTTCTTAGACAAAACAGCTCATGGGGTTTTCTTTGTGTGTATGTGTGTGCATGCGTGTTAAAACATTTTGATCTTCACACAGGCAAAACAGCTTCCAAAACATGGCAGAGCACCACTGACTCTTCAACAGCATCACTTATCCTAATTTTATGCAGATAGTTATAACACTTGATGAACTCTGCACTTTGAGACAGAAATTGTTAACAATTACTGAAGTACCAAAATTCTGAAATCAGGAAACAAGACCCATTTATTGAGCTTTAAACTTCTAAAAAGTACCAAAAAGACAGAAAAGTTGCCCATCAGGACTTGAAGTGGAAAGCCCCTGACTTAGGTTTCACTGACTAAAGGCATCAAGGGTTGGCAGGTTCTACTGTTGTCACACTGCACTTCATATACTTCTTGTCAATTGCACTGTTCATAATCACTCTGCACTTTCAAACAAGTTACAACAAGAATTAAGCAACAGTACCTATCCTCCCAAAAGCCTCAAGTGCTGTCTTCACAAGCTTTTCACCATCTTCCACTGAATCTATAAGAAAAAAGCATGAATTTTGAAGTAAAATGAACCAGATGCACTGTACTTCCAGGATATTAACAGATAATTCTATGGAGCTAAGAAAAATAAATTGTCTACAACCCCAACACAAAATAAATTCAAATCTAGACACTATTTGCATATGGCCTAAAGCAAAGCCCACAAAGTAAGTCTAAATGGCACAATGTTTGCCACTGCAAGAAAAACAAGCAGTAAAACAAGAATCACCCATTCCCATTTTGCCTCCAACAACTGCAGATGGACAGTTTCTTACTATTTCAATATCAAGAAAGTATATGGAAAAAAAGGGCACTACTAGCCAAGTATTAATTTAAAAAGCACTTTATGCACTTGCTTTTAGCATCTTTGTCTCCCTATTCCAGGTTACATTCCACCTACTTAATTTATATGGTACTGGCAAGCTAGGAGTAGTCCTTTATTAAGCAGTGTCAACTTTTCATTCAACAGGCCCACTATTCTTATAGATAAAGCATTAAGCTAGTCTAGAAAAATAACATACCATAACTGGGTACTGCTTTCCCTCCTTTTGCTCTGATTTCGTTGACAACTTTGTCAGCAGCTGAGGAGCTCTTGCCATATCCCTTGAAATCACCTCCAAGATCATTCACTGTGCATCACAAAGAAACGTATTTTTCATTGTTAACACTCAGACTTCGTAGTCTCTCTTTATCTCATTATCACACAGGAAGTTATAAGGAATATTAATAAAACTGGCTGCACCTAACTCCAACTGAGAATCTCAGATGATCAGAGAAGAACAGTAGGCCACTTTTTTTTTTAAAGTAGTATAACATACAGTATAATTTTTTTAAAATAACATGGGGAACTTCTTATTTTTCACATCCACCGTGCATTCAACCTGCTTGCCCTGCCCCGGCTACCTCTCTAAGGGTGTTATTGTAGTTCAGAGATTAAGATCAAGATTACATACTAATCACAGGTGATTACTTCTAGTCTCTGGACAAACTGCTATTGCTAATGCATGAACCCTAAACAAGGCTGAGAAGACTTTGTTCTGGTCTCATAAATTAGCTAAAATGTTACTAATAAACTTCACTATAGAACAGAACAAGTGGTCCAAACAAAAGGAGAAGAGCCTGCTCTGAAGCTTCAGACATTCCTCCTGTGGGACAAGAGAGCCACCTGACACAGAGAGCTGCCTTGTTTCCACGCTGCTCTCTGTCCTGGGGTATGCATCATTAATGGTAGCTGCACCGTATGATCCCCACAGTTCGCTGCACTGCTGTCTTTGCATGTCCCACAGTTTCACAGAATTCATCAGGGGAACAAAAACACCCCCCAAAAATCCATACACACATTATATTTGGACAAAGAATTTCCAAAAATAGTAAAAAGTATGTTTCAATGGGTGCAAAATGAAAACGTAAGAAAACCAGAACTGACTGTGGATTTACGTTTTGCTAAACAATCTTTTGCTATGGTGAACTCCAGCTCTGTGCCTTCTAACTTTTCCAGAGTCCTCAAGAAGCCAGTCATAGTGAAATCCACAAAATAAGCAAGATATTCTTTCTGGTCTCAACTATAAACAGCAACTGAAAGTCTGCTGTATCATCACAAAAGGAAACAAAACCATGTTATGACTTTTTTTTTTTTTAACTCTACATGTTAAGAGGAACATAGCTTGCAGGACACGTGACAAAATTTTTCTCTACTACTCAGCCCAAGTCTCATCTGGAATCCTGTTTTCAACTTTGTGTGTAGCACTTTTAAGAGAAATCTGGGAACACTGCAGAAAATCCAAATGAGTAAATGAAAATGTCCAAGCCCAGAAGTCAGCCACGTAAAGAACAGGCAAAAAAAACTCACAAAAACCAAACCAAACCAAAGCCTGAAGCAGGAAGAGTTAAGACAGAACATGATGATATGCTCAAGTACATCAACAGACTGATGCAAAAAAGAAAGGAAACAAAATCTCCAAGCTAAATAGATCAATATCTAACAGTTTGAACATGCAGCCAGGACAATTCAGGTCAGGCATTAGGGAAAATTTCCAAGTGTAGTGAAGCATTAGAATAGGCAACACTGTCAGACTGCTCAGTCTGCAACATCAAAGGTCTTTAATTTGACATTAAAGAAAAGCAAGTCAGGAACAGAACTAGGATTTCTCATCTGTCCTGGGAAAGAAGAGTAGATACAAAAACACTCAGTGTCATTAAGACATTACAACTCTTTACTAAAGACATGCTTATATATGTTTATCCTTCACTTCAGTAGTAATTTGCTGACAAAAGCTTAATTAAATATTTGGGAAAAATTCCAGAGGCAGCAAAGCACCTTAGGCACTAAGAGTTGAAGCAAAAATGAGTACGCAAGAAAGAACAGAGCTATTCTAGGCTTTGAAAACTATAAAATAACTCTGGGAGTGAGATAGAGTAATTAAAAAAAAATTAAAAAAAAACCAAATACCACAACAATGGGTAAATAACATTATTTTTTAAGCTCAAGCTTTACATCTTATAATTTCCAGTTGAAAACATCCAGTAGAAAAGCGCCAGAGACTGCAGCAGTTGTGACAGAGCATGGTTATAGTGTGAACCGAGGATAAGAATTCCTCTAAGGCCATGAGTGTCTTACTAGCAGAGTGCAGAGCAGCAGAGGCAAATCTGTAGGGCAAAAAGTTGGTGCTGAGGGCCTGATATCTACAGTACATGTTTTTAAAAAACGAAACAAAACTAAACAAAACCAACCAACAGTTCATTGCTTGTTACAGCCTGGTGCCACAAACCAAACACATATTTGGAACAATTTAGGTGCCCTGCTAAATTGCACCTTCCAGTTTGGTTCTCAAAGGAACTCCATGCACTTCATGCACTTCAATACCATCCCACAATGCAAACAAAAATACAAATCAGGAGAGACGCTTCAAATGCATGATTATAATCTAAACTAAAACAGCAACACAGAAGAGCCCTCAGGCAGGCAGGCCAAAAAGGAAGAAACTGTAGGGTCTGGACATAATACAGGTTGCAAGATAAAAACAAAGCATTCCCTTCCTCCTGCTTTCAACTTTTCCTGATGAGAAGCATGAAGGAGATGAAGCATGACAAAAATGATGATAGCAGGCAGCCTCTGGATGATAAGAAAAGGGAGACTTCCACCTGGGTCCCACTGTTCAGTTTAACCACACCAATGGCAACTTTCTCAACTGAATATTGTGCACAGAGAGAGATGTGGGACTGAAGAGAAAAAGCTTCCAAGTAGGGTCCCACTGGCATTCCTCCAACTAGAGTATTTGATCACTGTTCTTACAATGTACCTTCATTTCCATAATCTAAAAAAGGGAATTTGTTTTAAAGAGATGTGAGTCTCATCTCTGCTTTAGTTAAAAAAATCCAAATTTTTTACAGAAGTGACTTCTCACCTCTTTGAAGTCAGAATCATAAGAGAACAAGAGTAAGAAAAATAAATAGAAGCATGTAGAGATAATTGCAAAGCACTACTATAAAGAGAAGCAAAGCACTACTGTAAAGGTAAGTGAGATGCAGTTTCCAAAGGGAAACAAGAAGTTTTCCCATACAGAAAGGCAATTTGTAGCTTACTGATTTAGCTATTGTGTAGTAAGGCCAAGAGATAAAGGAGTATCAGCTCTGGTCAGGCAATATACTACATTTTCTTTCAGCTCATTCTGGAAAGTCAGAACACCACTAGATACATAGACCTAATACAATTGAACCTTTGGGCTGCTCTAGTGACCTAATTTTTGTTAAATAAGAACTTGAGATGCAGTATTCATGTTCACAGTAAATAAGGTAAGTATCAAAGGTGGCAACTACCAGAAAAAAAACCTAGATTTTTTTTTTTAAGTTGTCTACACACACAGACTTCTCACATTCAATCAATAAAGTAAAAACAAGCAATTTTTATGGAATTTTGTAAACTGAGATTGCGATATTTATTAGAAAGCTACTAAAACCAGTAAGCAAGTTCTTGTTCACAATCTGCTTAAACCTTTAACCCTGAACTCATCAACAATACCTGTACAAATTCATCCATAGGTGGTCAAATGGCGATGCCAACTGCCAGAGAGTGCCCAAGAATATAATTTAAACTTCAGAATTAGCTTATGATACAGCATTTTGCACAACTAAATATTCCCTGAAGAAGGCTCAACCACACAACTACAAAATTATCAGAAATCCTTTACTGAGAGCTATTTGGCACTGTCACTGAGGCTACTGATACTGTGTTACACTCCAATAACTTCTTTCCTGGGAGAAGGTACTAAAAGATACACATTCACATTTTCAAACAGGCATATTAAAAGTTTCTTAACAGTATTCACCTAAGACAACACCCTCTTTCATAAGAAAATAAAGCTTAGAAGCAAAATTTAAAGAGCAAAAGATAAAAGAGAAAACAATTAAATAACAAAGGTTACTGTGAAAAAGGACATGGACTGTTCAATGTAAGCCATGTAAAAAGGGAAACGTTATTGTCTAGATTAAGTTAGTTAACATAAAACTTACCAACTACTGAAGCTCCTCTTTCAGCAAAAGCCAGAGCATATGCTCTGCCCAAACCTAGATTAAAAAAAAAAAAAAAAAAAAAAAAAAAAGTAAAAAAAAGGAGTCAGTTTGTCTCCTGGATCACAATTCAGAGCAAAAGCTACACAAAGATGAACTGCATGAAGAAAAATGCACCGAACCAACAGAAACACCTTGCATGTTCAAAGCAAAACACTATTTCACCCAGGAGTTAAAAGTTTCACATAAGCTCAAAACATAAAAGCAAACAAACAGATAAATTGCAGACAAACCTCCAGCCAAGAGAAAAAAAAACCACAACATATCCCCGTACTTACTCTTTGTTATTGCACTCAGCAGAACCATAAGGGAAAGCTGCTGCTGAGTTTGTGCTTGTGACAGAAAAAAAGCATTTGTAAGGCAGAAAGTTTAAAGTCTTGATGTAACCTCAAAGAAGGAGGGGATGTCTCAAGTTAATTAATTACATTCTAAGTGTACAAGATACTTCCCTGGTTAAAGATTTGAAGAAGAAACGTAACAAAATTCAACTGTGACTGAAGATGTACAGACAAAACCCCTCCAATTATTTGGATACAAAGGAATCACTTAATATAGTTAACCATGTGCACCCACAGTTTACCTATCATAACAGAAGACTGTCATTTTTGCCTCACATGCAAAAGTTAGACTCTTGCACCTTTTCTCTACCTGAGATTCTAGGTGTGTTATACATTAGTTATTTGTTGTAACAAATTATTTACAGAGATATTATCCATTGTACCTGTTAAAAGTTATTGAAATCAATGATCATGATCCTTTTTTTCCTTCCAAAAGAAGCCAAGATTTGAATGATCAGATGATAAAAGTCAGAAAAAGTTTCTCAGAGTGCAACAGTATCTCTTTGCCCCTCAAAAAAACTCAAAGCTAGCTCTCAGAAAAAACGAATGAAAGAAAATCAGAACTGTTTAGACTGTTTTGAAACACACTAATCTCACACTAACAAATTGTAATTTTTCTTAAGAATCTTATGAGCCTCTGCAATGGAGAATATCACATGGGAGGTGCATATACATCCACTGCTGAGTCCATGAAAACTTCATTTCTGTTTTCAAAAGCCACATAACTGATGTGGCACAAAATCCAGATCATGTTATATGTGCTGGTATTCTCAATTCGCAAGCAAGGACTGAATGTTTAAGAATCAAAACTAATCAATCTTAAAAAAAAAAAAGCTAGAATTGCATAAACATTGAGAGTGCTGTACAACAGGCAGTATTTCACAAGGGATCTGCCTGAAGTGAAAAGAAACTACTGCATTTTTAGTTACTTGTGTATGTGAAAATAGGTCTTACTTGAAAACAAAGTAGTGATCCAGACATTTTAAACAAATTTACAGCTCTGATCTGTTCACTGCTATCCAATTCAAAAATCAATGTTGACAAACAATACTATTAGCAGTACAGTCTAACCACAGTGCTGTAAACTAAATAAAAGCAAAACAAGAAAAAAAAAAAAAAGAAAAATCTGAGTTAACAGGGCTTCCCTTTATCTTGGCTTAATCAATGACTTATCATAAAATTATTGTGAAATAACATATCCAAGGACAGTTTTCTCTGTTAACAAACCATAGTCAGCAGCCTAATACTAGAAGTACAAGGATCACCACACCCACACTTCTGACAAGCAATTTTTGCTCTATGCAGTGATTTTCAGAAACTTTTTTATTGCCAAAGTGTCTTTGTTTTGCTATTACATAAGGTCTTAACCTGTTCTCCAGTGAGACTTGTTATTAAATACAGGTCTGATACAAGCGGAAAAACACCATACAAAGATCTTTCCTTAATCATGCTCAGGTTTGTCACCTTGAGGTGACTTGCGTGGACTGTTCAGTGCTTTCCACAAAATCTCATATTCTTTGTCCCTCTCTTCAAGACATCACATCACCTAAGCCTCCAAAATTACTCCTCCGGCCATGTGATGTCGCGTAAAGAAAGACTAAAACTTCACTGTGGGAAGTCAGAACCTCCTCAGAGGAAGACAGAACAAGATCCTTTAGCAGCCCACCACAACTACAAACTCTGCTTCTCTTGCCCACACTGACAGCTCATATCTTTGCTGGGAGTGCCAGAGCAGGCAAAGGTCAAAGCGTGTAATCAGAAGAAGAAGAAAAACAAATCAAAACAAAAAACAGAAACATTTCCTGGCAAATCCAAGCATTCCACTGCAGAACCACCCACCCGAGACAGGCCAGGCCGGCAGCCCACCAACAGAGAGAGCAGGCCAGCTCTGCTGCCGACAGAAACCTCTCCCCACCCTGCGGCCCTCTCCCGTGCGTCCTCAGGCAGGCTCCCAGGCGCAGGCCAAGGAAGGCAGCCGCAGGCTGGAGGCTGCTTTCTGCAGCAGCGCTGGCACACCGTGTCAAGCCCCCG